CTGTGTCATATGTGCCCGTATAAACAATTCTGTCCCCATCAGGCTCTTTAGACTTCAGCTCCAGTGGGACAACCACACCACCAATGGAAATGTTCCTGCAATGGACTGGAGTTGACTACATATGGTAGGAATTAATTTAGGCACCCTGTCCTGGTCTGGACAATAACCCTAGGCAGGAATCCTACAGGGTTTGATTAAAGGAGACATCTGGTGGGGTAGAAAGTTCTGAAAGGTCAGGAGGCTTGAGTTCTCCAACTTACCAGTCACGTGACCCTAGAGCAACTACTTAATCTCTCTGGACTGACCTTAGTATTCTCATCCAGACTACTTGTACAAGACTGAGTCAAACTCTTATCAGTCCTACTCTATAGTTTCTTATCTGTGGGACTATTAAAAACTTACCTATACCCAGCCTCATCCCAAACCCCAGAATTTAGAATTCAATGTGGTCAGGTATGGTTTGGGCACGGTAAATTTATTTTAAGTTTCTCTAGGTGATTCTAATATACAGGTAGGGTTGAGAACCAAGAACCACTGAACTAGCTCTTAAATGATTTTTTTCTGTTCCAACAGAGATCCCATGATTTGGGGTACACAAAGCCAACCACAAAACCAGAAATTCTCACTGGCATCATTCCTTTGTGTTAAGTTAGTGATTCTCAAGGGTTAGTCCCTAGATTAGCTGTGTCAGTATTACCTCCTCATGTATTAGAAAACAAATTTTTAAGCCCTACCCCAGACATAGTAAACTGGAAACTCGAGGGTGGGGCTCAGCTGAGTTTTAACAAGCATTTTAGGTGATTCTGACAGACACTCAAGTTTAGGAACTACTAGGTTAGGGCAATGAAACACCCTTGATAAAATTAAAATGTAAATAGAAAAAGTAGTTCTGTCATTAACACAAATTCATTTTAGATTAGTTAAAAAAATAGAGAACCACCTTGAAGAAAATGGGATAGAGAATAGATAACTTGGGAGAGTTTGCCAGGAAATAAGGGAAAGGAAAAGTCTGGATCATATGGAGATGCACAGAACACTGGGAAATGTGAAGGTAACTGGTGTGTGGAGCTGTGGGGGCTTGGTGACAAGCAGGGGGACCAGGAGTACTAGAAACAACCCAGTGTGGTTCTAGGTCCTTGAATTAGGGCCTGACACCTAGAAGGCCAACACAAGTTTTTTGAATTAATGACTACCCATGGAGACTGCAGCTATAAAAGGTATCTGGTGGACTCAAAGCCCTTCCACGCCCCGCTTCCACATTAGACTTCACACCATATTTAGGTGGAAGCTGAGAGGTAAAGGACTCCATCCCTAGATACTTCCCTATAAGCTATGGCACCCTTCCCTTCTGACTTTCTAGCCAGAAGTCTAGTGGGTGCACCAAACTGTGGTAGCAGGGAAGAGATAATCCCTGCCACAAATAAACCAAGAAACATCCTTTTGTTGCCAGGATATGGCGAATCCCAGACACCATCCCCAGGATGAATAAACAACTCAGGAGAAAATGAAAAACACATGGCAAGGAAAACGGTGAGACTAGGCCTAAGGCGAGGAGGCTGTGCTCTGACTTGTGGCTGCCCCTCCAGCCCCAGGGTCTCCAGCCACGTAGGGGTGGATGGATGGTGGAATAGGGAGCGTCCCTTAGGGAGCCCCAGGAACTACCTCACACCCTCGCCTTTACACCTCATTCCTCAGCCTTTCTTCCTCCTCCGGCCTCGCGGTTGGCAGAACCCCGCGGGACGCCAGGGCTGGGGAGAGGAGGGCTGGGATTGCGGTAGGTGAACAACCCGGGGTCCTGGGGGTGCGCCGAGGGCTGGGCAGAAGGGATGAAAAATTTACAAGAAAATAACCCCCCGCGACCCTCCCTCCAACCCTGGCTTCCTGACGCTGTTTTAAACATCCCTCCCCGAGACGGGTGGAAGGAAACGTGAAGAGGGAAAAAGCAAGCGTAAAACAGAAGAGGGGACCAAAAGGAACAGGGAACTGACCTCTTCCCCCCACCCCTGGGCCGCTGGGCACGACGCGAGGCCAGAGCGGCCGGGGAGAGGCTCAGGCTGTCCCGGGGGCCTCGGTCCTCCGCGCGGACCCCAAGGTGGGGTCGGGCAGCCCCGGCGCGCGCGCTTACTCACTCGACCTGCAGCGTGGTGGGCTTAATCTTCACCTCCACCTTGTAGGAAGAGCCGGTGAGCAGCTTGATGGTGCGGTTCTGGCCGAAGCGCTGGC